ACCCAGAGCTGAGACAAGATGGCTCAAGCGTACTTGACAGAAGCATTAGGTTCAAGGAAACTCTTAGAACTGTTTTCTGAGATAGAATCAGACCTAAATCTATGCTAGGTGTCAAAGGTGACTGACGTATGATAGTTTATTGGCATTTATTTATTGATGTTTCATGTAGACTAGACATTTCCCTCATTTCAAAAAATCCATCTGGAGATTATGCTATTGTCAGAGACAGAGACGCTGGAGCTGGGTTACCTAGTCCCAAACCTGGCTCTACAACTTAGTAACTATGTGGCCTGTCGCTATACCTCTCTCTCTCTCTCCCTCAGTTTTCTTATCTGTAAAACGAGAACAATAATAGTCCCTACCTCCCAGGCTTGCTGGGGGTTAAATGAGCTATGTCAAAAGCTTAAGGACCCCTATTACCGCTGTTCTGCTGGTGACCTGGTAAAGAGGAAAGACAGGAGAGAGAGCCGGAGGGGCTGCATTTCTGAAGTCACAGTCCCAGAGAGACCCCAACACCAGGATGCAGTAGTGGGGAAGGGGGAATGCCAAGTGCCAGCTGGCCTCTTCTCCTGGCATCGTAGGCATCAGTTGGGGCCACTTTACAGAAGGTATCAGCCCTTTTTGGACCCGAATGACTACCACCTCTTCCACCGTCCGCCCCTGCTTCTTTGGCTCCCTCCAAGAAGTCTCTTTGGGGCTGGAATTCAGACTGTGGGTGTTGAATACCTTCAGTTGTTGAAATTGGTGCTGCATTCTTTCTTGAGCCCTTTCAAACATGCCCTCGGCCACCTGCCGGTCCACCCCTCTCCTGATGACGTCTTTCATTCTCTCACACGCTTTTTTGCCAGCAATCTGAGCGGCCTCTGGCAAAAATGATAGCTACAGTCACACCACAACAAGGACTTGCAGAGAAATCTTTAGCATCAGAAAGAAAGGCAAGCAAACAAACAAAAACTATGTATGCACACACATATGTATGTGTACACAGACACACACATACATACGGACATACACACACATATATTCATATATGTGGCACCATTTTCCACACAGTGGAAGTTGTTTAATCATAATATGATACAAAAGATCAGCACTCTCAGAATTTAGATAACTGTCATTCAGAAAATCTAATGGATGAATTAAGCAGAAGTTTACAAAACTCCCATGCACCGCCCCCCCCCCACCACGACCAGAAAAAAACAATGGGACCGCCAAAACAAGAAGGAGCTGGAAGGTAGGTTACAAATACTTAAAGGGAATAAGAATGAGAATCAGATAGTGGATTCAATAGTTTAACCAGGTGAGATGCAGCGAGGAGAGGAGAAGCAGGGTGAATAGACACAGGGTGGGCAGAAAGCACTGGAAACACACAGATAGAACTGATTCATGGGTCACCTGTCCCCTGACCCTTAAAGTTATTTGGTTTTCAATTTGTGGACTAAGAGTATGAGAGGGATTTAGGACGCAGGAGGACAAATACTTTGAGAGGAGAGCAGAAGAAAAGGACGCTGAAGGAGCTGACAGAAAGACCCCAGAGGAAATAGACATGTCGCCCTCTGGAGCGCCCACCTTCATAACAGGGCTTCAGGTCGCTCTGAACAGAGGTGGTGAGAGACTCATAGATCCTCCTCTTCTTTCTGAGGATGTAATCTTCCAGGCCTCCCAGGATGGCACTTATCTGAGAATCCACATTAACAAAAGGCCATTTGTGACAATTCCTTCGATAGAAGTGGGTGTTCCTGTGTGTGGCCACCATTTCCTTCTGCTTTATGTTACGCTTGGCTGTTTCCATGTCATTTCCCCAATGAGGCTGTGAGCTTCTCATAGGCAGGAACTCTGTCTTAGCATCTTTATATCCCAAAGTGTTTCCTACCATGCCTGGCACTTACAAATGACTCAAATATTTGCTGAGTTGAACTCAGGCACGTGCAAGGTGGTCAATAGGCCCTCTTAGGGGGAGGATGTGAGAACAGGATACTTCTCTAGTGTTGCTGTGTAATTCGGGCTGTGCTTGTGCTATGGGCTGAACATTCGTGTCCACCCAAAATTTGTATGTTAAAACCCTAACCCCCAAGGTGATAGCATTAGGAGGTGGGGCCTTTGGGAGGTGACTAGGTCATGAGCAGGCAGCCCTCATAATTGAGACTATTCCCTTTACGGAAGAGACTCTAGCAAGTTCCTTTGCCCCTGCTAAGGTGAGGTGATGGTGAGAAGACCATCATATATGAACTGGGAAGTGGACCCTCACCAGCCACCAACTCTGCCTGCGCCTTGACCTTGTACTTCCAGCCTCCTGTGAGGAATAAATTTCTGTTGTGTATACCCTACCTCATTTACAGCATTTTGTTATAGCATCCTGAATAGACTAAGACAGGCTAGAGGAAAATGGGTCACAGACAAGAGTCTTGAGGACTCAAAACTAACAAATGATGTACAAAAAAAAAAAAAAAGACTCTTCTTTAAGCTTCATTGCTGTGAATAATGACTTTATAATATTGGCAAAAATGATTGAAGGTCAGTTACAAGTGGATGTTACAGGTGGATTCAAATGTTTGTGCCTCTAAAGATTCTTTGAATATTCTTCTTGGGAACTGAGTCTCCTTTCCAACCTCGGCACTTACTGCTGGTTGCTTCCCAGTGGCATAGAGCTGGCTTGGTGTCCCGTCCTACATCCTCATGGCAGTCTAAGGGGCACCCCGCACACTGTGTGTTGTGTCTCACAGCACTTGCTACAAGACGTGCCCAGACCTTGGCACTCCAGGAGAGCAGGGGGGAGAGACATGCAATACTTCTGGAATCCTGCTGGTAAGAAAGCCACTGCCCAACGTCACTGCCCTCTTCGTTTTACAGGGATCTTACCTCCTGGATCAGAAAACTTTTTTTGTAACTATCATATTTCCAGCCACTTCTTATTCCAATTTCCATCATTTTCTCCTGTAGAGAGTGCTTAAAAGCTTCTACGTGAGGCAGCAATGCTGACCCAGTGGGCTTTCCAGCTCTACAGAAGAAACAGTATAAAACGTTAAGAGACAACGTGGCCACCGTGGGGCTAAAACAAAAGGAAACTAGCTGGTATCCTTTTATTCACTTTTAAGACAGGGGGATGAGAATGAATAGGTACTGAATTCCTACTGGTGCCAGGCACTGTTCTGTGCCAGGTCCTGCACCTAAAAGTCTGTGAAACCCATTTTACAGACAAGAAAACTGAGGTTCAGAGAAGACAGCTGTTGTGTTCACAGTCACACAGCTAGCAAGTGGCAGAGCCAGGCTACTTTGTACAGTGATCTGTTTAGCCTCAAAGTCAGTCTTCCCACTGCCAAGGTGTTTCCATTTGCAAGTGTGGGACTTAAACTACATTTTTTTTAATGTTTATTTATTTTGAGAGAGAGAGAATGAAGGAGAGAGACAGAGAGACAGAGGGAGAGCAAGAATCCCAAGCAGGCTCTGGGCTCTCACTGCAGAGCCTAACATGGGGCATGAGATTGTGACCTGAGCCGAAATCAAGAGTCGGATGTTCAAAGGGCTGAGACACGCAGACACCCCTGAACTACATTTTAAAAGATGGATAAGATTTGGGGAAGTGAAAACAAGGAAGGGCTATTCCCCATGGGGACAACGTAGTGAACAAAATTTTCAGAACATCCCAGGAGGAAGAAGCAGCAGGTTATAGAGGAGAGAGCATAGACTTGAACTCCTAGCTCTCTACTTAAGAGCTGACTGACATTGGGAAAGCTGTCCAAAGTCCTCTAAATCTCAGCTTGTCCACTTGTAGATAGACAGCAGGCCCTTCAGAGGGTTATTGAGAGGATCTGATGAGATCATGTGCGCACAGAGCTTAGCACAGTTCCTGGTACATCTCGCTTGCTCTTTGCTACCCTCCAGGCTGGCTGAAGCAGGAGGCTGGTACTGAGCAACAGGACTGGGATAGAGTGGAAAGGCCAGTTAGAGGCAGGTGGGATGTCTTGAATGCCATTGTAAATAATTTGGAGTTTTGGGGCGCCTGGGTGGGGCAGTCGGTCAAGCGTCCGACTTCAGCCAGGTCACGATCTCGCGGTCCGTGAGTTCGAGCCCCGCGTCGGGCTCTGGGCTGGTGGCTCGGAGCCTGGAGCCTGTTTCCGATTCTGTGTCTCCCTCTCTCTCTGCCCCTCCCCCGTTCATGCTCTGTCTCTCTCTGTCCCAAAAATAAATAAACGTTGAAAAAAAAATTAAAAAAAAATAATAATTTGGAGTTTATCCTACAGACTTGTAAACTGAGATAGGGTAGATGGAATGGCATGACCCCAAAGGAGTTAAAGGAAGGTGGGGGCAGAGTAGGGGAACACCGAGTAAGAATCAAGCAAAGGTAGAATGGTTCGAGCAGCAGCAGGTGGTGAAATGCCAGAGGCCAACGAAGGAGACTGGGGGCAGGCTCTTGCACTAAGGGATTAGGAAATTCTGTTTCTGTAGGTGGAGAAAAGGATTAGAGGTCAAGGAAGGAGGGAAGGAGGAGGCACCATGAAGCTCAGACAGCTAGTAAGTCAGCAAGCATGCAGTATGTCAAAAACAAACACAGAGTCATCAGTCAGCCACTTTGCAGTTTTGCATTTGGGGAAATTTACAAAGGCCATGTGTTTGCTTAACTCCACACTCTCCAACCAAAATAACCTGTCCTGGGCTCAGATCCATAAGAAAATGTATCCCTTGCTGCATGTATGAGATATTTGAAAAATAATGGGAATCATAATATTAGTCTAAAAGTAACATCTCCATCTGTACTCCAGGTCGCCACTAGAAATTAACTAACCAAACCAAGAAGGCTTTTGTGTTTTTCCAGAGACTAAGCTTTCCTCCTCAAGTTGCAAGCTACTCTTCACGCTTCCAGATCCAAAGTACAAATTCTTATAAAGCGGAGACTCCAGCCCAATGCTCTTCAGATGTTTGTTCACGAAGGGGCAAGAGAAAGGATCTTTTACCTAAAAATGCCTCCAAAAACGGGATCGATCTGGTCATAGATGGGCTGAGTGATGGCTTCGTTCAGATCTATTCTTGCAAGAGTCCTGGAGGCATAGATGCCATTTTTCAGGCAAACAGCTTTCAGAGTCTGATGAAAGCCCTGGTTTCCTCTACTCCTCTAGGTAATTAAACAATAAGTTAATAGTTAGTAAACATTAACTACAATGTCACAGGATCAGAATTGTATTGCCTTTGGCCACAGGCTATGACCAAGAATCACAGGGAAGAGAAGGGACAGCTTCATGTTTCAGCATACTCTTGAGCCAGACAGAGGGCACAACAGTCACGCCTGAGTTGGCGGCTGCCCTGGCTTCCGGAGCGTCTTGTGCTTCCTTGATCACAAGTCTCCTCATACAGTTTCTATTTATCTGTTTACTCATTGCGCTTCTCTACCAGAACAGCTGCTCATTGTGGACACAAACAGTGTCTTATCTGACTTGATGTTCTTACCATCTGGCAACAGCATAAGCAAGTAGTGCTTAAATGAACAATTATTAAATGAAAATGTGCTATGACCCTACTGGGAGTATATGTTTCAGACCTTCCAAGCATAGTCCAAGTTTTTAAATACTTTTTGTTGAATGCCTAATAAAATGTAATTTGATTTGTACATCTTCATAACATTTTTTCCCAGAGAAATAAATTCAAAAATCAGAGGCAAAAAAATACAATGAAGCTAGAGCCACACGAGACATTGATAAATCTTAGCCAGATGGTGATTCTTAGTAAGGGGAATAAAAATATATTTGCACTGACCAAAATTTTAGTGGAGGTCCTTGTGATCAATCAATGATATATGCTTTAAGGAAATCTGTTTCAAGTGCATGGTCATGTAGCATAATACAATTGGCATCATACTATAAATATATATATATTCATTTTAATATTCTGCTCTTTTCACTTAATAGTATAACATGAACATTTCCTCAAGTCATTGTAAATGCTTGCAAAAATTGTTTCAATAACCACATAATATCATGTGGATATATCCCAATTTATTTTACCATTCTCTTCTGGTTAGATATTTAGGTTAGTTTACTATGTTACATAATAATATGATGGTAACATATAATGTTTGCCCAAATTTCTGATCACAGAGGAAGTGTCCTATCCAAGACACCTGAGACATGTCTGTAGTTACAGAGAAAAACACCATTTAAGAACTGGTGAGACAGGGGACAGTTCACGGGATGACATCCTAGCGAAGGTCTAAGATGTTCCTTCTATGAGCAAATTGTCTCAAAGGAATGGTCTCCGCTTTGTGCCTTTGCTTTCTCAGAACCTACTTACTCACTTTTGGTGATCTGGGATCTTTTACCATCATATAGAAACAGTTCTCCCCAGAGTCACTTACTTACCCCAGGCCTGATGAAATAAATAAGCAATTATTTATTATCTCTCACCAGCTCTGTGGGTCAGGAATTCAGATATAGCTCAGTTGCTGTTTCACTGTTCACTAGATGGCCAGGCTGTGTGGCCAAGGTTAAAAGGCAGATAAACACCACCCAGAAAAGAGACAAGTACATGATTCAAGGTCTCTGAGAACAGAAAATATTCACACTAGGCTCAGGCAGTACAGCATTTACTTACAGCAAGAGGAGAAAAAGTGTGCACAAGATCCAGCCCTTTGCAACACACGGGTCCCTGTGGCCAGCAGACCCCCTCCACAGCCAATGCTGGTGATCCCACAATATGGGATCCCACAATGTAGAAGGACCCAAGCCCTCCCCCACAGGATCTGAAATACAGAAAACTGGGAGCTAGCCCAAGGGCCTTGGCCGCCTATACTAAGCAGAACAAAGAAGTACACACTGAGCATAAAACAGGGAAGAATATTTCCACACAAGGCGATAAGCCCAGGACAGGCTGTGAGGGCTCTTTATCTCTTGGTAAGGAAGTGGTCCAGGCCCAAGGCCCATTCTTATGTGGCCAAGTGGGGATTGAAAGACCGCATGCACAGGCTGACCTTTCCCAACAGCGGGCCAGTGCTGGCTCAGGTCTTCTCCATGAGGCTCCGTCAGGCACTGGCTGGGGTTACAGTCACCAGAATGGGGCCAGAGGACCCACTCCTAAGGAGGCTCACTCCAGAGTTGGCAAGGCGATGCTGGCTATTAGACAGACTTCACTACTTTTGTGGGGATTTACAAATGTTGAATCACGTAACTGGTTGGCAATCACAAGTAGCTGCAATCGTTTGCAGAGATGCAACAGGCAAGTGTAGGGGTTGGGCATCCAGGCTCTGAAAATAGAGAGGCCTGCAGTAGATGTGGATCCCATATGTGGCCACGGACGAGTTGTTCAGCCTCTGTAAGGCCATAAAATGAAACTAATAAGAGTGTTTACCACCCGGAATTGTTGTGAGGACTGAATCAGTGATGCCCAGTATCTGGGCACCAGAGTCAGCATTTCTTCCACGTTTGCTGAAGGCATGAGCCAATGCTCGTGCACATACTACATTCACGGACACTCAGCTGCCCGCTTCCACACAGAAGGCATGCCACCTCTCCTTCTCCTATGTCAGAAATCTGAGAGTCCTCTCTGATGACCCCACGATCATTGCCACTTCTTTACTGTTTTAGCTTTCAGTTTTCTAGCGTTTTCTCTCTGTCCAATAACAGAGGCATCTCCTTCCCTCTCATCCCAGTCATGGCACATACCTACTGATCTAGATCCCGAAACAAACTCTTACAAAAGCAATGCAGGTAAGAGCACCCAGATGAGATCATATGCTAGAAAGGTATATCATCTGTGTATATAAAAAAGCCCGCGGAAATGTAGAGCCCCATTGCACACCACCTTTTCTCTGCTAACGTTCTAGCTTTCCAACTCATATTAAAACAATGGCAACAACATACAATCTAGGTGCTGCTCCCAGCTCTAGATACTTCTGTATCATCTTTGTCACATGAGTGGTGTTGTGCATCACGTTTTACTCTTAACAGGTGTTATGGAGTGAACTGTATCCCTCTGAATCAACATGTTCAAGCCCTGACCCTGATGTGACTATATTTGGAGATAGGGCCTTTAGGGAGGTAATTAGGGTTACATGAGGACTTAACGGTGGGTCCTGATCTTACTGGACAGCTGTCCTTATACGAAGAGAGAGAGATGCCAGGGAGGCACACATAGAGAAAAGACCATGGGAGAACACAGCTAGAAGGTGGCCTTTTGCAAGCCAAAAACAGAGGCCCCAGGAGAAACCAACCTTGCACTGCTTTGATCTTGAGCTTCTAACCTTCACAACTGTCAGAATAAATGCCTGCCATTTAAACCACCCAGTCTATGATATTTTATGTTATGCAGCCCTAGCCAACTAATACGATACGCCTTTTTTCCCCACCCCTTAGCCTTAGATAAATAAAGCCTGGCACTTACATTTTTATCCCTCAGAAAGCCCATATAAGTAATTAAAAGATAAAATAATTTGCATGCCTAGTGAGAGGGTTCAAGATGTTTCCTTACTGTGCAATCGAATTGACATTTATATCAACCCCGTTAAGATAGGTAGGGCAAGTATTTAGCACCTCATTTTGCAGAAGAAAAAAACCTACAAGCTTAAATGGGTTTCAGGCCTCACCCAGGGCTACACAGTGGATGATGGGTAGAAAGACCTCAGATCCGAAATTCCAGCTCAACTCCACTGAACCATGCACTCTTTCCTCACCATGTACAATTGGGCAGTTCTCACTACATGCTTTTCTTGTATGCACTTTTCACCCTCTCCTACTCTCTTTTAGCTTTTTAGTTCCTTCAAAGGCTATGGAATAGTGCAAAACGAGCCTGGAGGTAAGGCAGATGTCACCGAATATTACAGGTCCTCCCTGGAAAGGGTCACTCACCACCAGGCATGTCCCAAGGATCCGTCGGTAGGAAGCCTTGGCATTTCTGACTCCTTCTTGCAGAGGCTGTTTGATGTGGGCAAAGCACTGGTCAATGACCTTCTCCAGAAGCTGTATCTTCTCTTCCACAAATCTCCGCAGGCCACTCATGTGCAAGAATTCGTTCTAGGGACAAGGGTCAGAGAAGCATAAGGCCACGTCCTCTCTAAGGACACTTTCTCTCAAACTTTGCTTCCTTTATGCTCATCCACCAACACAAGATTTAGCCTGAGCTAATCACCCTCAGATGATTTCTATTGTCCCAGTAAAGCATCTCTCAGTGCACAAATCTCCTTAAGTGTTGTGGATTGGAGAACACAATAAATATATGTCTCCTGCAACTTACTTTGGGCGTGTAAACCATTAGGCTTTTCGAGGGAATAACTAGTAGAATAAAAATCCAATTGCTGTTAAAACATATTTTTCATTGACATCTGATTCTACTAACATTTAGTGGATTTTGACTGGGCACAAAACAGTTTTTGAGGATAGTTTTTCTCAAACTTTAACATGTGTGCAAATCACAGGAAGAATTTGGTCAAATCCCAAAACCTGAGATTCTACATTTCCAGCAAGCCCCCAGGTGATGCTGCTCTTCTGGGCCCTGGGCCATACTTTGAATAGCAAAGCTACAGGACACAACAATAAAGACAAGGCCTTTTCTTCAAAGGAGAATACAGTCTAATCAAGGAGGAAAAGATCTACTGAAATGATACAAGGGAGAGGTAGCCTTGACCCCTAGGTTCCAAATTGGGAATTGTGTCGTGTTGTTCCCTGTGTAAGAATCTTGGGGGACCCCACAGTGCCTGCAGCAGACGGAAGCCATACTACTTAGCTCAGCACTTAAGGCTCTTTATAGCCAGGTCTCAACCAACTTCTCCAGCACCACCAGCTCTCTGTTTGCCCAAGATGTCATCCTATCCCAGGGTATCTGCTCCTGAATGCGCTACCATTTCCCAAATGTGTCATCCCTTTTGTGACCCTATGCCTTTGCACAAGCTTCCCATCCTTCCAGACAAAGCTCCAAAGCACCCATGTGGTGGAACTGGCGCTCTCTTTCCTGTGCTTCCATTGCTTTTTGTACATCCCTGTGTCCCATCCCATATCTTCTTCCCTAAACTTGGAACTCACTGAAGGATCCACGGACAGTGTTATTCATGTTTGTTTATTCTGAGGCATGGCACAGGATGTGTGGCTAACAAACAATTTGGAGTGAACGAACGCCCCAGAGAGACTGTTAGACAACGTGGGCTTTTATTTATTTTTTTTTTTTTTTCAACGTTTATTTATTTTTGGGACAGAGAGAGACAGAGCATGAACGGGGGAGGGGTAGAGAGAGAGGGAGACACAGAATCGGAAACAGGCTCCAGGCTCTGAGCCGTCAGCCCAGAGCCTGACGCGGGGCTCGAACTCACGGACCGCGAGATCGTGACCTGGCTGAAATCGGACGCTTAACCGACTGTGCCACCCAGGCGCCCCACAACGTGGGCTTTTAAATTCTATTCCAAATGTGATGACAGAAATAGCTCTCAAATTGATGTGTGACCTTATACAAATGACTGAGCTTTTCTGGATCTTGATTGTATTGAAGTGAATGAGGTTGAATGTTCCGGACAACAGGTGTTCCTCAAACTCCCACACTCTGTAAGTCTTAGAGCAGACGAGTTTAAAGTTTATGGAGACTATTCAGCTTTCAGCGAACCCTGGGGATTCCCATAGTTTTTCACCAGTAAGAATTCTATAAGCCATACTTGTCTTTCAGAATGCCTTCTGGATTCTTTTGAGTTTTTGGTGTCACTGGTGATCAAAAGGAAAAAAGAAAGGAGTCACCAATGGAAACTCTATGGGCAAGATGCTCACAAAGGCTCACCCTCAACAAATCCTTGTTGAATAAACAAAAGAATGATAAGAAAGAGCAGGTCTGGGAATAAAGGAACAATTAGAAGAGGAAAAGCTGGTATTTACTATGAATAAACACAGGGCTCATTCAACACTGAGATGTCATAATGAACTTCCTACTGATTCATAAAAATAATGACTAGATCCCTGTTCATTTAAAATCACTATGCAAACTCTCTATTTTTTGGTTTGAATCATAATCTTAAAACTGATATACCACCACATTCTTAGGTTTGATTTTTTTTTTTTTTTTCAGAATGCAAAGGAACTGACAAAACTCTTGCCTTCCAACTTTCCATCAATGAACAAAGACTGAGACCAATATCTGAGGCCAAAGAATTTTGAGGGAAAATGCTGGCAAAAGGCTATCTGAAGGGCTACCCGAGAAGCGCCAACCGGCTCCCTGCCCTGTGTTTGCTGTCGCCTACAGTCTGGCTGCAAGGATGGTATTTCATCCCCACACGGGCTGCCCCTCTGCCTCAGCAGAGGAGAGCATGGGGGGGGGGGCACTTCTGAGTTTGATTGCAAAATGCCTTGTCCTTGTGTTTGTAAAACAAACCAACCGCACACGGCACCACATCTGATTTGTTTTCCATCAGCATTTCCAAAAGCAATCTTTTGCTGGGCAGAGAGGCGATTTTCACCCCGAAGAACTTTTTCGGGAAGTTAGAAGGTCAAATGCTTCCCTGGAATTTCAGAGGACAAAGTCAAATTAGAGAATCTCAGATTCCAGGAGGTTGTTTTATGCTTTGTTTTATTTTTTTAGTTTTTGGTTTTTGGTTTTTTTTTTGTCACAGAACTAAGCCAAATGAGGCATAAGAAACATGATGAAAAAGACAGGGAACCTCTCTCTATATATCACTTTTATATAGAATTTTTTTGATGTAGATATTTGACCAAAACTGCAGATGCTGTCTACAGTTGGCATTGCTTACTCTTCACATTGAGGTCAGGTCCCCATTATCTGCTCCTCCTGGCCACTCCATGGGGCCAAACTGGGTATACCTACCCACATTCTCAGGACCAGCCCCTTGAACTCTCATAGAGCCCTACTGGTTCACTTTCTCTGGCCCTACCTCCTTCTGCATGACAAGAAATTGGGCAGTTTGGTTGTGCAAATCTGATGGCTGAAAGCAAGTGTAGATATAAACACCAACCAAATGAGAACCTGCAAAGGCTATTTATTCAGAACTTGGCTGTAGCAAGAGAGTCAGCCACCATCACTTGGGTTTGGCAGAGACTCAAAGGCAAGCAGAGGAGTGGGAAGTTTTCAGGTATGCTCCCATCTGAGGCTGCTGGCACAGGGAAGCTGTGGGTGGGCTAACTAGAAGCAAGGATCCTATATGATTCGGTAGGGTGCATATTTGGCTTCTCTGGCTGGAAGCAGGGATGTAGATTAGGAAAGTTGCCGATTATTAACCCATCAGCCCATTTGGGGCTAATTGTTATAGACATTATTGCTTAGCTTCTTGGAGTCAGATAGCAGTCTGACTCCCCATGAGTCTAACTTATAGCAGGCTGTCCTCCCAAGCTCATTATTGTAGATAAGGGGCTGGTTTCCTAGGCAGGTGGCTACAGGCTGTGAGTCAGAGTTCTGATTTTTTTGTTTTTTTTAAGTTTATTTATTTATCTTGATAGAGAGCAGGGGAGGGGAAGATAGAGAGAGAGAGAAAGAAAGAATCCCAAGCAGGTTCTGTACTGTGAGTGTAGAGCCCGATACGGGGCCAGAACCCATGAACTGTGAGCTCATGACCGGAGCCAAAACCGAGAGTCAGACACTTAAAAAACTAAGCCACCCAGGTGCCCCCAGAGTTCTGGTTTAACATATGACTTCCTACTTGTATATTCAGTCCCTCACAAAGAAGCAGTGTACTTGGTGACTGATTGCAGCAACAGATCTTTCTCCCAAACTCTCCCCAACCTCTAACCTAGCAGCCTATCCATCTTATTTTAGGGTAAAAAGAGCCACCCACCAAAGAGATAAATTTGTCCATTACTATGAGAAAAGTAATTTTGAACTGGCCATTCAGAAGGTCTGCATTCTAGATCATGAAGATAAATGCATAAACTCTTTGCTGAATGTCCCTCCTAGATCCCTTCCTCACATTATTTTGCTAGGCTGCTCTGAGTTTGAGATTCTGATGGCACCAAGGCATAAGGGAAATCCATAGACAGACAAAAAAGTTTTTGGACTGGAGCCATTCCTTGGTAGGATAACCAAGAATTGCCAATATTCTACTAGATTGAAACAGATCACTTCTGTTATCACTTAAACACATTCCATCTTCTTCAAGTCTCAGGAGAGGTAAAAGCAGCTGCTGATTGATTTTACATTTTCCTCTCAACCCATGCAAAATATTATTTGTTTCTTTTTTTACTCAAATGTCACAATTTTAACCCCCTAATTATCTTTTTGTCCACTTTGAATTTCTGGGCTTAGTATCTTCCTTTGATATGAAAAGAAAAATTATTGTAAGTTATTTTTCTAGCTTTGCAAAAGGGAATGTTCTGCTCAGTTTGGGAGGCAGAAAATACACGCACAGGTATCTCTCATACCGGCAGGTTTTCCATGCAGTTGAAACTGTCCGTGAGGAGCAACAGACCAAAGGCTTCAGTAACATACTTGGTCACCATCCTCCTCTTCTTGTCCAAGAGCCTCTTCCTGATATAGCTTCTTAACTTGGGGATTTCTGGAATTCACAGGCAGCACAAACTATTTTAAAAGGCCAGAGTTCACAGCAAATAGAATCCACAAAAATTAACAGATCAGAATGGCAGTCTGAATTAACCACAGTTGAGGTCCTACATGGGCTGACTGCCCACTCACTACACCACTTTTTCTGAGGGTATTTTCTCTGTGTCTAGGATCAACAATAAGGAAGTTAGCCTCCTAACTCCTAATTTTATTTAGCGGTACAAGTCAAAGTAAGTAGAAAAGTGCAGGCTGCTTAAAAACATTGGCACTTCCCTTTGGCCTGCTACTCACCAGAATAGTTGAATCAAAGGTGCCCACAATCTGAGATACTCAGCTCTTCAGTCCCCCTAGACTTCTCCATCTATATCAAATAACCCTTAACATGAAAATCACTCATGCCTGCTGTAGAAAGGATGAGAACCTCTGCTGAGTGGGATTCATGTTAGTCCTAATGCTGTGTTCGTCAGAAGGTAACAGACTCTTCCTACCTTTTCTCCCATTATTCCCATAAGTGGAAATTCTTTTTTTTTTTTTTTTGAGAGAGAGAGAGGGTGAAAATGAGTGAGGGGCAGAGAGACAGAGGGAATCCCACCAGGGACAGAGAGAGAGAGAGAGAAGCAGGTCTCACCCAAAGCAGGATGCCTGCTAACTCGAAGCAGGTCTCGTCAAGCTCGGGTCCTGCCTGCTTGCCCACTTTTCACTGAGTGCTCCAGTCACACAGACCTTTAGGTTCTTTGGATTTGTACTCACGGCACCATTTAACCAAGCTTTATTTTTACCTTGATGTTTTACACATGGCTTAGTATTTGCTCCTCATGTAGATTTTAAATTCTGACAAGAAAGGGGTCATGTCTTCTGCTTCTTCCTCCTCAGAGACAGAGCAAACAACAGAAGCTCAGTAAATACTAATACCTGTAGCTGGGTGAGTGAGGAATCTCAAGCCAAACACTGAGAAAGGACAACCCAATCACTGATCTCTACCAACTCTTGGTAGACTTTGGATGAAAGAGGAATTGTCTCAGGCACCACAATGCAGAGAGAAAAACAAATACATTTGTTAATAGGTACAGAAACTGTGGCAAGCTGGAAATGTGGCGCAGAAAGTTCTAGAGAGGGAAATTCAGAGCTCAATCTTGAGAATTTTAGAGACTGAGATAAAAAATGTATCAATTACCAGTTTCCTCCTCGGTGAGGAGAGCCTGTTGCCAGTACTCCTGGGCGCTGACTGTGTACACGAGATCGGAGGCTTCCAGAACCTTGGAGTCGGCAGGCAGTTTTCTCTGAAGTGAGAGCGGCACACGGAGAACAGAATACTCAAACATGGTAAAGGAAATAATGCACAGGCCTTACAAGAGCCTTCAGCAAATTTCAGCTCACTAACTTTCGGTGCTGCAACAGCCCCTTAAAGAACACACAACACCTTGTACGTCAGGTCTTCCTATCTGTCCAGGCCTCATAAGGTTGGAAGTTGTAAGAAAACTGCTACATGGAAACTATTCTCTCAGGAGGTAAAAATAGCAGTTTTAGGGGTGCCTGAGTGGCTCAGTAGGTTAAGTGTCCGCCTCTTGATTTCGGCTCAGGTCACGATCTCACAGTTCGGGAGTTCGAGCCCCACGTCACACTCTGCACCAATAGTATGGAGCCTGTTTGGGATTCTCTCTCTCCCTCTCTCCTTCTCTCTCTCTCTCTCTCTCTCACTCTCTCTCTGCCCCTCCCTCTCTCTCTCTCTCAACCCACTCCCAACATAAATAAGATTTTTAAAATAAATAAAAATACCAATTCTAGAAGGAAATGTATACAGAAAATGGTTTAAAGTGTACCAAAGTGTTCACAGAGGGGAAAAGTACCACAGGCTTTATGGTAAGAAAAAAAGCACAACTCCAGCAAAGGCAGCGATGTGCTGCACCAGCACATGAGAGCCACGGCACACAGCTCTCCCCAACTCCACCTTTAGTGACATCACCCTGGTAGCTTGAAATTGGCAAAGGTGGGAATCAGCAAGTGCTAGAAGTCAGGACTTTTAGGGTTTGCTTCTTTTATTTATTTGTTTGTTTGTTTAAAAATTTTTAATGTTTATTTATTTTTGAGACAGAGTGCAAGTGGGGAAGGGCAGAGAGAGAGAGGGAGACGGAGAATCCGCAGCAGGCTCCAGGCTCCGAGCTGTCAGCACAGAGCCCGACGCGGGGCTCAAACTCACGAGCTGTGAGAGAGATCATGACCTAAGTCGAAGTCGGATGCTCAACAGACTGAGCCACCCAGGCACCCCTTCTTCTTTTATTTTTAAACAGAGATCTGGTTGTTATATATTTACCTAAACACCACGACACTGGGCAAAGGTTGTGTAAAAAAGTACAAGTTTCTTAGCTGGGTGGTTAGTGAGTAATCAGACACATTTAAAAGCAGAGTAGTGTTTAAGTAAATGATGGTGTTAAATGGCAAGGAATTAAGAATGTGAGTAAATGGGTTTTTTTTATTAGAAAAATCATCACCACAGAGAAGTAATACTAGAAGTATGCATAAATATTGTTTCATAATCTTCATTTTTCTCACTTAAAAGAAAAGAGAAAAATCACAAAGTGTGCATGTGTGTGCATAGGTTTGGGGGCAGTAGAACACCATAGAGAGTCATCAGTCTCTTCCTGATGCAAAGACACAGAAGAGCTGAGTGAGTCCAGAGACCACATGTCTGGCAAGTGGTAAGCCCGTGTAGTCAAGGCTGGAATAGATATACCTGGATAGGCTTCCAGAAGCCTCACACACTGCAGACAGGGCTGAAATTATACAGAAGATTTGCCACAATTAACTTTTTTCCTTTCTGATAGCGTTTTGACTTTGGGAAAACAGTTTAGGGAAAGTTGAAACTATCTTCCACTGGAAGATAAAATTGATACGGAATTAAATTTAAGTAGGGTTTAAAACAGTTGAAAGCAAGAAGTATGCCTAGCTGTGTCTAGGTATTTACATTACTTAAAACCTTGCTCTAAATTTTGTATATCTCTTCTAAAAATCATTGAAGATTAGTTAACCCTTGTGCTTGTTATTATAGTGCAGAGAAATATTTTTATGGTGCCAGTGAAGTGACTACAGTTTGCAGGTTCCATTTTATTATAAAAGAGATGTCGTTACATCTGGAAGGTAGGTGGATACGACCTTGCCGGATACAGCAAGAGGTAAGTGGATACTCACCAAATCGTCCTATGGAAAGATTAGTCACTGTTGTAATTCACACACATTGCTTATTACCACAGTTTGTAAGAATATTTTGTATATGAGAGAGAAGAAACCTGTAGCTCAAAATAGAAGGGATACTAGGGGCACCTGGGTGGTTCAATCAGTTAAGCAACTCTGGCTCAGGTCATGATCTCATGATTCCTGAGTTCTAACCCCGCATCGGGCTCTCTGCTGTCAGCACAGAGCCCGCTTCAGATCTTCTGTCCCCCTCTCTCTCTTACCTTCCCCCACTCATTCT